GAACTTTTGCGTGTACTTACGCTGCGCTCCAAAGCTGAGCAGGATTCAAGAGAAGATCATCCTGGATGTTGAATGAATGATCTCTTTCATGAAACGACCAGTCTCTTTGCATCCCTGAATTATTAGCTTTGTTGCCGAGAGAGCACATCCGTCACGGTGGGCAGCACAGTTATGAATAGTGCTCGCAGCTGCAACACAATTCTGTAACAAATCTTAGGAAAAAATAGGAAGCTGTGTTTAGGAGTGACTTGCACCTTTAAACGACACCATTTATGTTACCTAGTGGGCTCTTGGTTTCAAAGAAGGAAAGTGGTATGGTGCTCACAAGTGCTCGATGAGGAGTCCCAGCAATATTGTCCACCAATATGTCAAGTATTAGGGTTAGGTCAGTGGTGAGATGTTGAGAAGGCGAAGCATCTACACATGTAGCCTAGTAGTACTGTACTATTACGACCAATGGTTCAGGTGACGGGTGACGGGGGGCCGTGAACTGAACCAATTCGGCATGGGTGACGGTGACATTTCGATTTTTGGCGTGAAATAGGGGCGAAAACTGTCAAAAATTCTCGGCCGGCACCTGCTGGAGGCTGCCGTCCGTCCATTTATGGGAATTTCTGGTGATTGCCGATCAATGAACCTTGATCCCAGTGAACCTTTGAGGTGACGGGTGACATGGCATGAACCTTTGGTCGTAATAGTACAGTAGATCATTCTACAAATGGTGTTACACGTTACTGGCAACCGTGGAATGCCCCACCTCGATTCTGATGAACCGGGTCACTGATCGGTAATAGGGTGTTTCATAATTAAGATTCCGACTCCAGTTGAACTCGGGCCCAAAATTCTGCCTCAGCTCTGCCTCAACTTGCCCCAAGTTGAGGCACAAGTTAGAGGCCTGTTCGTGAAACACCTGAGCCAGAAATTCTGCCTCAACTCCGGAGGTAAGGCAGAGATGCGTATCCAGACCGGGCACCGAGTTGGGGCAGAAGTTGGAGGAGAAGTTAGATGTCAAGTGTTGCTGCTAACGATTTACTCCGATCATGTTCCCAAACTTGTGCCTCAACTTCCGATAAGTTGGAGTCCGAGTTGAGGCAAGAGTTGAACCCCACATTTAGTTATGAAAGACCGTGACCCTAATAGAAGCATCGGAGATTGGAGATTATGTACTGTCAGTTGCTGGACATCGGGCGCTGACAGTTGTCAGGCCCAATTATGGTATTGTTAGACCTCTGTGCCTCCATTTGAGAATAAGGGTGAGAGTCCTATTGGCAGACACAGGAAAATTCCCACAGCGTGTGGGAATGAGATTATAAGAAGCAAGACCTGAGCTATTTAAGTGAAACAAGTTTGGTTCCTTCCTTCCCTAGCCCCCTGTTGCCCTGTTTCGCAAAGCCTCTTGTGTGTCCTTGACAACAACCATCCTAACCCTATGCCTACTACTTGTTTGCAGCGGGCAGTTCACTGTTGGAAGTCCGAGTCCATCGCTCTCTATCATCCAGGCAACGCATTATCTGCTATGTTGAGTCCCTGGGTTTAGCATGTTCAACTTCACATTTTGTCCCTGGTACCTTACTTATACTTCAGTTGTTCTAATTTTCTCCCTCTATTTAGTCATATTGGTTCCTGACGACGTTTGTATATTACCTAGTAGTTCTCGAATGGATCCCCTCCGTGTTTGTGAGGGTCTTCTGCTATTCCCGAGTAAAGGCTGTGACCATCTTTATTTCAACAGTCACAACTCGATCGTGACCTCCTAATGGATTCCACACCGCCGGACTATGGCATCTCCAGAGTCTCAGGTTACTACGGCCCCGGCGCCGTCTTGGGATGGTGGCTCCTAACTATTGCGACCACTCTCAATCTCATGTACGGTGACACATCTCCCAGCCACTCCAATTCTCCGGACACTTCTTCCAGTCACTCCAATTCTCCAAAGCCGCCGTCCATTTGGAACCTCTTTAACCTTGACCCCAACATCCTCGCTATCACAGCATATCCTTTCATTGCATCACTGGATCTGCTGGCCAACATGCACCCCTATGGCACGAATCCAAACAACCCCGCCCTCTTTCGTGCTCCTTTCTTGCTCATATTAGAAGGCAAACTAATCCTGTTTGTAATTCTGATTGTGCTGGGAGTTCGGGAGGGGGAGCATCACCTGGTCAACAGGGTGTTTGCATTCACTTTCTTGGCCTACTTTACTATGGTCCACTATGCCTCACTCTGGGCATGCATCGAGAAGCTGGACCTCATTAGAATGGACGGAATCTTCCCCTTGACACCATACAGCTGCAAGGACGGTGCAAGTCCAGTCTCGGTGTGTCAGACAAACATTGACACCTACCTTAAACACCGGAGGTACCCCAACTGGGAGGGAGGCAAGGCAGATGACTACGACGCAGCGGAGCGCTTCCTGATAATATGGAGTCTCTTCTTCATTGTCTACCTGGTCGCGCTGCTCAGGGATACCATGGGCAATTTTGTGAAGAAGCTAGGATGGTGGGATGTGAGGAATCTGGTGCTGCAGGTTCTCCTGGCAGTCTGCTGCTATGCAATGTTCATGGTGGTCGTAAGGCAGTCTTACGACTTCCTCTTTTTGGCGGTTTGGTTCCTGGTGTCACCAATCATCTCTCCACGTGTGCTCATACCGGACAGCGGAGCATCATTTTATGATCTGGACCAGGTAGCGGCATTTGTGGTTGGAGGGGTAGTGCCACTGGTGCTGAGTGTCAAGCCACTGGTGTTGGCGTAGTATAGGAATCGGGGTGTTCAGGCCGCCGAGACTGTAGTTTGATAGCAATCATTTAGATTACTATGGACTATCTCAACTAATATTTTGTAGTGCAAACATTTTCTCCTTAGTGCTGTCATCCCGCCCCGTCAGTTTAAATTAAGGGCATCTGGATGGGACTCCATTGTAATCCAGTTTGAACTGAGGCTCAGTTTAATCTATGCTACGGAGTTTTGTTCTCTAAGGAATTTGGACTTGAAGTCTGCGATATAATAATATTAATAACGCTAAAGCAAGGATGAGTCGATATCAATGAGGTGTCCTGCACTGCGAACTTGCTCCACATGAATTGAAACTCGGGAGTCGATATTTCGCCAAAGGGAATGACAACTTTAATGCGAGAAGTCAGCTTTCTGTGGCAGAATAAAAGATGTGTGAGTAAACTCCTAAGACCCTACCCGGATTCGAACCGCCGATCAGCAAAATGTATTTGAGCTGGCAGAGCTGGCGCCAGACCCACCAGCACCGCCAACGCGCCAGAATGTGAGCTGGCGCCAACCCGAGCATAATTTTCTTACCCGGCGCCAGAAATAGTTCTGGCACCACTCGCAGTTCACCGCCAGTTTTTCATATCCTTGCCAGAACACTTCCAATGTCAGAATTCGATTGGTGCTCTCTCAATTCACACAAATGTAGGGACTAGTTAAATATTGAATTGAGGTATTCTAACTACCCTTGTACAACTGTCCAGAATACGATACTCACAGATCACCTACACTTTCCCCACCCCAGAACCGCTCCGCGGCGATGACAACTGTAGCTGACAGAAGACAAAGCCCAGAAATAGGACTTGCAGGATATTGCGGACATGGCAAAGACCGAAGAATGACTTGAGGTTTTTCCGACTTGAAATATCATTGATATGACTTGGAGCTCGGCATGGACCACGTTCTTGGGGATGTTGGGCAGCGAGTCTTGTTCAGCCCTCGCTCTCGGGGATGTTGGGCAGCGCTTGCCGATGCAGAGGGTTGGTCAGCGGAGGCTTGAGGGGACGTGAAGCCACATTGACCAGGAAGGCTTGAGATCTCGAGACGCTACCGGCAGAGAGGCATGGAAAGCGCAGGAACCATTTGGGGGAAATTGAGTTGTGGCGCGACCGCACGATGCGCGCGAAGGGTGGCGATCGACGCGGGAGCGACTTGAGGGTATACCGATGGCTGACCGCGCGAGGGACTCAAGGGTAGCATCGCACCGTTGAAAGGAAGTTACGACTTGAAGAAGGTGATTTTGGCCGCGCGCTCTGCTTGACGGAAGCTTGAAGTCGTGCGGCCTGGTGTTTCGGGAATGGATTGCCGTGTGGAGGTGTGGTAGCGGACGGTGCGCGAGTAAGAGAGCGGGGCAAGGCTCGGGAAGTAGTGGGGAGGGGACGGGGACGGGGAGAAGCAAAGAGGCGGCTGCGGATCGACAAACATGCACGTGGTGATTGCGCCATCGTTGATGGCGCACGGACCATCGGCGGAGTGAAAGGTTTTCACGCAGTCGAATTTCTGAACGTTCAGCTATCACACCATATTCCAGGCGTCGAGGACTCGGGATACATGCGCCGGTTCAGTTTTCTTCGCCATTTCCAAAGGCGCTTCAGCAGGTACTTGCCAATTAATTTGAATTGAAAGCCAAGACTTATCTCACCGCAACCGAAGATGCAACCAAAGATTATATATGGATCTCTAGACCCCACAAATCACGGATAAAACATGGAGGAAAGGCATAAGCAGCCATTAGACTAAGATTGGTAAATTCTGGCAAAATAGGAGTTTCTGGCGGATAACACAAAACTGGCAATCTTTCCAAAACTGGTGTTACTGGCACGCAATACCGCCAGGTGCGCCAGGTGCGCCAGCAGTGCCAGGTCCGGCCAGCTGAGAAACATTTTGCTGATGCGGATTCTTCCGCTGAATTATTTGGCTCAAACAACATGAGACCAAGGGTAGTGGAGGCATTCCAAGTGCCACAGGGTCTTGGTTCTTACATCCTGTGCTTCAGTTACAAATAATGAAGCCTGCACTGCGCCAAAATTAAGTACGTGGCTTGCGATTGAAGCAGGTACCCGCGCCGCCGACGGGTTGAATGAAATTTGACTCACCGCCAAGTCACAACGCCGCGGTAAAAGAGAAAGAAAAAAAGCAATCTTGTCGCTGCGCATGATACAGCATCGAGGACTTCGAGACCTAACTCTGCGAGAGAAAGATGTGTGTCGATTCTCCTATCAAGACCCCGCCCGGAATCGAACCGGGTTCTTCCGCTGAATTGAACTTCCTTGAGTAATCAAGAGTAGCGTACACATACCATATACTATGGAGTCCTATTGTGTAAAGAATTTGGACTTGAGGTCTGCAATAAAACCGAAGTAAACTCAGTCAGTGCTCCTGCATATGGATTAAAATCTGACTCACCCCCAGCACCGTGCAGGAAAGAAACAGATCTTTTCCGCTGTGCATGATACAACACCAAAGGCTTTGAGACCTAACTCTGCGAGAGAAAAATCTGGAGAGATCTACTCTCAAGCCCCCGCCTGGAATCGAACCCGGTTTCTCCGCTGAAGCGGTTGGAGATCGACCAGGGGCAACGGATGCATACCATATGCTACGGAGTCCTGTTCTCTGAAGATAATTGGACTTCAAGATAAAATCAATCTGATTCAATCAGTTGATTGCCAGTGAGGGTACAGTGCGCTGCAATGCGAACCTGGATTGAAACTCGGGAGTTAATATTCGGGGAGACAACAGCTCTAACCTGAAAAGTCCGTGCAAGTTGGAAGTTAGCTCTGCAGCAAAAAGAAAAGAAGAAAAAGGATTGCGGCCGGCGCTGTAGGACCCCGCCCGGATTCGAACCGGCTTCTCCGCTGAACCTTTGCACCGCAGCTTCAAGGGTAGCGAATGCATTCCATATGCCACAGAATCTTGTATCTCTGAGAATGATCATACTTGAAGTCTGCAATAAAGTCCAATCAGTTATCCTGTGGCTGCATATACATCGAAACAAACCGACAGTTACCGTCAACTGCGTTGAAGAAAAATGAATTGGCTTGACTGCAGCCTATCCGTGCGCATGATATCGATAGAACTTTGAGGCTACAATACAACCCTGCATCAGAATTTTAAAAGAGATTTGGGTGGAATCGCTCTAAGACCCCGCCCGGATTCGAACCAGGCTCTTCCGCTGAAAGCCATAAGGGCAGCGGACGCATACCATATGCTTCGGGGTCCTGTCTCCCTGAGAGGATATTATCTCGAAAACCAATCAAAACGTTCGGAAAAAGTGCGGCCGGTTTGGCGCATCAGAGCAAAATCACCTTGATCCTGATCCTCCGACGCCCGATCGCTCGCGAGTCCACCCGAAGACGCGTCGCGTCGCGTGTTGCGCAGCGTGCGCTCAAAATCTCATAATTGATCTTTCTCAGCATAAAGATTCATCTCCGCCCTTGAGCTTCAACTTCCCGCTTCACAGAACAACAAAACCCCCTCTTACCACCACCCTCCACGTCGCAAAAAGAAAGACTCAATTCGCCCCTCAAACAACAACCACCCCGCCAACCGACCGCGCCCACCAACCCCGCGCCTACCAACCCCGCGCCAACCCCGCGAACGCACCGCCCAACAGCGCCGGCGCCGCACCGCTCGGGGTGCTCGTTCCCGTGGTACCGTTGGCGCCGGCGGAGGCGGAACCAGAGGCAGCGGAGCCAGACTTCGAGGCAGCGGCGGATCCAGAGGCGGCGGACCCGGAGGCGGAGATGTCGGCGGCGGTGTTGGAGGGGAGGAAGGGCGCGGTGGCGGTGGCGGAGCCGGTGGGGGTGAGGGAGACTGTGAGGGAAAAGAAAGAGGGGAGGGTGGTTAGTGAACTGTTGAGGGGAAAAAAAGGAGAGGAAGGGGGACAGGACGAAGGAGGAGGAATTGAAGGTGAATTAGCGGATAGGGATAGGCGGGAAAGGGAGCACGCGCGAATAGCGGGCCTGAACGCGAAGAGGCACGACGTGGGAGGGATGTGAACATCGAGCGCGAACACGAATAGTGTCTGCGAATTGGGGTAAGAGTAGGGTGAGAATAAAGGGTGGATGGAAGAGAAAGAATGAAAGTAACGATGGACGAAGGAGCTAGGGTGTGTTGCAAGAGGTGAGGATGGAACCAAACGCGAATGGAGGCAAGCGAAGCGACGAAGGGAACAGAGGAAGGAGGGAGGGGTGTAGAGGAATTAAAGTAGGTAGGGCAGGCGGATAGGGAATGGATTAATGGACGCAACAAGGGGTGAGAATAGAGATGATGCCGAGTGCGAACGCGAAGACGGGTCCGTGAGGCATGGAGGAAGGTGGGATGGAAAGGGAAGCGGATGCGAACGCCGAACACGAACACGAATAGCATGTGCTATAAAGGGAAAGGGACGAATGAAAGCAAACGATGGGTGAATTCGGAGGTAGAGTGTGTTAAATAGTGGTAAGGGAGGTGGGAACCGAACGCGAATGTGCATGCGGAGACGAGTGCGAAGAGGCAGGGAGGAAGAACGCTCGACGAAGGCAGCGATGGGAAGGGAAACACGAACGTCGGGTGCGAAAGCGGCGCGCGCTCCGCGAGAAAAAGAAAAGAAATGGGGCGGGCAGGGAAACAACACGCACGGGGATCACAGTTGGCAGCCTGAGCAGCAAGGGCGGCGAAGCCTCAGCGCGCTTGCACTCGGCCACGAGACAGCTGCCGGCCTGGGCCTGGAACTTGAAGTTGGCGTCGGTGCCCACGCCGGTGGCGTTGGTGCTGCGAGAAAATTGACATTACATCGAAGAGAGGCTTGCGGGCGGAGGCGGCAGGCGGCGGCCTCGATGCAGCCGAGGGCGCAGGCTGGCGCAGGTGATGAGGCCGATGGCGGCAGAGGCGGTGGTCGTAAAAGAAGAGTGACGTAAAAACGTAAGCCTCGTCATCACCATCGGCCGAACTCATCCTCTTAGCCACCCGATCCTTGCTCTTCCTTCGAGTCCTTCTCTTCCCCGTCGCCGAACCGCGCCAGCACCCACTCGACTCCCGTACCCGCTCTGCCCCAGTCCGCTACTAGTACGCTCTAGTCACCCCGTCCCGCTGCCCTTTGTCGCTCTCAACGCGCTCGTCCCCGCCCCGCAGTACCTCGACCGCCCGCTTTGACGCCCAAGAACGACACACACTCAACACCCGTCCCTACCCCTCGCCGTCACGTCATACCTCTTCACACCCCGCGCGCACCCGGAATTCCTGCCGCCGTCCTGCAAAGTCACGGTCAACGAAAGATACAAAAACAGGTCCCAGGTGCGTACCCTAGGCAATCACACTCGCGCGTACTGACCATGTTTTTGCCCTTATTGCGCCCGTTTGCCCTTCGCCGACCCCCGACCCCGCCGCCTTTCCATCCCTACTAATTATAACACCCCTTTCACTGTCCTCCCCTCTCCTTGCCTTCTCCCCTCGTCTTCGTTCCCTTATACATTTCACATTTCATCCCGCATCCCTCTTCTCCATCCATCCCCGCCCGACAACTCCGTGGCACCATGAGTCGACTCCGCCGTTCTCGGCAGGCGCTCACGCGGCCGGCTCAACTCGTTCTCATCGCGCTGCCTCACCAGCCCGACGTTCGCTACACGCAGTCTGTTGTACTGTAGTCGAATATCGTTCCAACAATACACTCGTGTGCATGCATAATCACCTGTGGGATTGTTAACGCGGACTCGGATGATACTGGATCTGGATGACGGCGGACTTGCATGTAAGGGCTTGTGTCAATGGGAGGGAATTCTGCGTGAGGTCCACGGTGGGTCAAGTCGTGGATTGATTAAGTTCAACTTCCGCTTACTTCGCGCGTGGATCCCACCCTCGGTCAAGTAAAGTCAGTACGGAGGCAGATCTGGGTGAAGTGAGTAAGTAAAATAGAGACTAGGCGACAATTTGAACCCAACTCACCGATACTGAATAGGTGGATTAGCCGCCTGCGCTTGAACCCAACCCCTAGCGCCGCTGAAAAGCCTGGGTTAACGAGAAGGTCAGTAAGTACACGGAATTGAATGGAATGCGTACCTCGGGCGCCTCCGTGCCGTCGAATGTTGTTGAAATTGAAATTGCAGCGCGTCTCGGGGAACTAACAAGTTGGGATCGAGGTAAGTAAGTCAGGAACGAAACCGAGTGAAGACTCACGAGTATTGCAGCTGAACCACGGTAGGTAGGTTGAAGTAGGTCGAACTGAAGCGAAGAAGTCCTAGAAGTCCTGGCCGCGGAGGAACTCGCCAACGTGATAGTCAACCTTCACCTTCACCTTCACCATTAATCACCCTCAACATCAAGCCACATCATGGAACCCTTCAACGACAAATTAAACTTACTGCAAGCATGGGAACTCGAGGGTGGGCAGGGCAGAACACACTACTCCCCGAGATATCGATGCCGATGCTCGATTGCGAACTCTGCTCGAGGAATTAAATTAGTGGATCTATGGATGGATGGGATGGGTACTACGTACCTGGTCACCGGTCACTGCATCGAATAGTGTGTTACAGACTTGTAGACCTGGACACCGAAGGTCACTGAAAATATATCGAGTCAAACCGGCGTGGGTCGTTTGGCTAAGTCAAATGGGAGGGTGAGTACTGTATCCAGATGGTCAGTGGTCAGTGGTGTGTAGACCTCAGGAAGCGATGTTGAAAGCCGAACACGCGTTGAAATCATGTCGAGTCCGAGTCCGAGTCGTATTGCATGGTGATTGAACGAGGTGCGTAATCACATACCAATATACATACCATCGGCCCAAAGGTGCGTTATCGAGGCAAATGACCTCGAGCACATACCTAGCTTCAAAAATAACACCCTGAAGCGACGAGACGCCGTTGAATGGGTTGAAGGCTTGGAACGAACAGTTCGAAAGAAAATTGGGGTTAATACTGTTGCATTCAAACGGCCAGGGTAACAGGCAGGCATTGAATGACTTGAACCACTGGCATATTATATGCACTTGAACGAAGCTCAACATTGCTGATAAAATCGAAGGCGGACGTACCTGGCATCGGCTCGGCCCACCAAGGACACATACCCAGTCTTGAAGTCCACTTCATGCAAGGCCATTGCGGTGTTCGACTAACCTGAGGCGTGAATCTGAAGACAAGTCAATGAAGGACTCGACGAGGCACTTCGAAAACTGACCGGGCGTAGCGTTGAAGGTTGATCCATGCTTCAAAATGCGAAGGTCAGTCGGACATTCATTCAAACAGGGGACAAAGCTTGTGGCATTTGTCATAAGGGCTTGCGAGCGGCTTGCGCTGCGTCTTCACTACGTCTTCACTCAGTCCTCGCCAGTAAGCTTAGG